AAAATATTAGAAACAAAAGAAATAACCAATTTTAAATGCATGAACATATTTTTTTTGTTTTAAGTATTCTATATTTATTTTTATTTACTTTATCTGAGTGTATAATAGAAAAAATGCTTATTCACTAACAAATACATTTACAATTGTTTGCAAACTTATAATTTTACTTATATAAATTTAATTTTGATTTAAACTAAGCCATTAATTTATGTTAATACTATACAAATATATGTTTTTTATTAAATTTTATATTAAATTAGTTGTTTCTAAATGCTATGTTACAAAGAAATTATTTTTAATTGTTCAAAAAAGTTTTATATTTAAAAGAAAAATTTTTCGTAATTCAATCTTTTCAAATGCATCATAAGTATTCATATAAAAATTAAATAGCATGAATAGCAAATATGTAAATTGAATATCCAGCAATAATTTTTCTTTTATTCTCCAAGAAAAATTATAAATTTAGTTTACTTTTCTTATTTAAATTTAAATTTTATAACAAAATTTGTTATTTTAAATGCTTTGCTTCGAATTTTATCTAGTTTGGCTGCTTGTTCATTTGCTTCCTTTGCTCTTGTGAAAACTTTATCCCCAATCCAATTTATATAATTTACTTTTTTGCACTTTACATTCATTTTACATACATTTGTATAATTCAATATACTTTTTGTTATTTTTTCACCCACAATAACACCAAAAACCATATAAACCATAGGTATTATTATTTCCTTGAGCACTTCTCTTAATTTTCTTTTATTCTCTGTTTCGTGCGTTCATTTCTTAAATTTTTTTACCTTAGTGTTTATATATTTTATCTTTGGCGAAAATTTCTGAGCAATGAAGTTTTTATAATTTCCTTCTACACTAATTATACACTTTCTCTGTTTTTTTTTTATACACATAAGCCACATTTGACATTTAGATGTTACAATATTTTATTTTTTTCTTTATTTTTGTTGTTTTTTTCTATGTAAAAATAGGCTTATATCTATTAAAAAAAAAAATCATGGGAAAATATTTTTTGGTTATTTGGTCATTATTTCAGGAAAAATATTAAAAGATAAAATCAATAAAATTAACATCAAGTAATTGTTAAACACAGCCGACTTCAATGCTCATGTAAAAATTTAGGAGTACCGTTAATTTCTAATGATCTAATGATCGGAACTAAATCAAATTAGTATGAGACTACAAAACAAAAGAGCTATTGAAAACGGTACACGTGGTCCAAAGTTATCTGGTAACATGCAATTAAAGAAAAAAATATTCCGATGCATAGATAATTTTTTCCTTTTTTGAAGCCGGTAGAAGATAAAAAATATAAACTATGTATTTTTAAATTTATATCAATTGGAGAACGAAGCGATTTCGGAGGATTTTCAAAATTCGTATACTCCATGTAACCATTGCCTACAGTGGTTATGCCCCGCTCCGTTGTTTGAAACGACTCGAGACTTGACCAGCGCCCTGCGGTGAAAATGTTACTTTCCTTGAACTCTCCATCGATCTCAAATTTTTGCTTTCAGATCAGTTCCGATGAACGGCTAGAACTCCCACTAGTAAAGCGAAAGGTATGAGACTAGTTGAGTTTTAAGGTTTCAAGGTTTTCGCTGATCTGACATAAGGCCCATCTGTCTAGTAGTAGACCGCATGTAGTCAGTGGAGCCCCACCATTTTCTTACTCGCCGATAGTTCGTCAATAGTGCCCAGTTTTTAGGGCTCATCGGCTATGCAGTTTCTTACGTTATGGTTGAGTCCTGAAATCTGAAAAGGCATCCCTGACCAACATCACCTCTTACGATTTGCGACGCTGAGGCTCAAATGTCTTAGCAAGAACTCTTTAAACTTATCTAAGACATCCAGTACAAACGACATTCTGGTACAAACGAAAGAATATGACACTCCACTCGCTAAACTAAAAAGTTTCCTGGAGGCGATTTTCTGTAACTAGACTACGGGCGCCATACAAGACAAAAAGGTGAACTGCAAGAGCTACAACTTTGAATGATGGGCGGATATAAGTGGCGTCTACGAACACCCGGAAGAAACAAGTTCAGCAGAATCTGCCTGTATTTGGGATGAATAACAGTCGGAACTTCGCGAAGGGGATCAAGAACTGGCAAACATTTTTCTGAGTCTCATAAGGAAAAGAAAACGATTTATGAAAAATTATTAATATTTCAGGAAAAAAATATTATGGTGTCTGTAATTATAAAATTTTGCGTTATTGATGTAAAATTACCCAGACTGTAAGAAATATTTATTTTGCATTAAATAGAATATTGTTTGGTAAAATGAAACGTGTTTTATTTCTTGTATAAAAACTATAAACTCTAAAATGTGACGGAAATAATAAAAAAATTAAATTAGGAAGAAATTTTAAGTCTTGCATCAATTAAGAAATTATATTTGAGTTTATCTTTTTGATTTGAAACGTTTACATGCATACAACTACATAGCTTTTAATAGTCTATCGGTATTTTGTTTTAAGTACAAAGTTATTTTTGACCAATTAAAAGTAAAAATGTTTTAGCAAAAAATTGTTAGAAAACATAAACAATATGTAAACATGTCTTACACAAAAAAAGCTGAATGAAAAATTAATTTTACAAAAATTTAACTTACATTTTTTAAAATATTTTTTTAAAAAATTTTAAAATACGTTTTAGTAAAGTTAAAATAATGATAAGAGATATATTATTTGATGAACAAAATGTTTTAGAAACCAAAATAGTTAAAAATTAAAATTTCTGAAAAAATATTGTTTCTTTGTGCATATTTATAAAAAATCGCTCATTTTGGAATGATTAAAAAAACTAAAAATTAGATTTACAGAAAAATAATTGAAGAAAATTGTGAAAATACTTTTCGACAAAATTAGAGGAATGACAAGAAAAATATGTCTATTAAGAAATACCTACAAAATTCTTTTTTCAGAAAAAATATGGTTTACATTTTTATAAAAACCTTTTAAAAAAAATATTTTAGAAAAACGAGTAAAAATTTAAAATTGAACTGAAAATTCTTTTAGAAAAATTGGAAATACTTTGGAAAAATAATAAGAACGATACAGAATATACTTGATAAAAAATTATTAAAAAAATAACAGTTCAAAAACAAAAATAACTAAAAGATATCATATTTTGGAAAGAATATTGTGTCTACATTCATACATATGAACTTATAACAACGTCTACATTCGCATGTAGTTACAAAAACGGCTATTTTTAGAATATCGTTTAAAAAAATTTACATTTGAAAACGGAATTTTAGAAATAAATAATTTAAGAAAAAGTATTTTGGAAAAACGAGATGAAGCTTAAGTTTTTGAAAATAATATTTCTTATAAAAATTAAGAAACACCTTTTTAGAAAGTAGGAAGAATAATAAGAAATACATATGTATGTATGTACGTTTGATAAAAAAAAAATAAAAATTAAAAAACAAAAATATCGGGATAATTAAAATTGAATAAAATAAATTAAAATAATTGAAAAAACTGTAAAACTACTTTTTGAAAAACGAAGAGAATGATGTAAAATTTGTATTTTGATAAAAATTAAAAAGTATTTTCGAAATCAAAATAACTAAAAATATAATCTTTCCGAAAAGATATATATGTATATATGTGTGTATAAGAACGGTAAATTTTATAATATATTAATTTTAAATAATTAATGAATTTGATAAAACTGAATCAGAACTATATAAAATAAATTTTATGAAAAACAATTGAAAAAACTGTAAAACTTTTTTAGGAAAATGAATAGAATGATAAGAAATATATGGGATATAAGTTTTAAAAAAAATAATGCATTTTGTGTTAATAAAATATATAAATTTAAAAATATATATTTGCATTTAACTGAATAAAAACTAAAAAGCAAATAATTGAAAAAAACTATAAAACTACTTTTTAGAAAAATTAAAAGAGCGTTAAGATATACGTTTGATACAAAATAATTAAAAGAGGGGGTACTCGCAGGAAAATATTGTTTATGTTTAAAAAAATGAGAAAATTTTAGTTATGATCTTTTGTTACAAAAATAGTAAAACCCAGTTGTACTTGAAAAACTTAGTTAAAAAAACGTTTATTTAGAAGAACTTGGAAATACATACATAGGTACCTTCTTTTAAGAATAAATTAGAAACAAAACTTATTAAAAAAAGTTTTTTTGTATAAAATTTCGTTTTCAGAAAAATAATAAAAAATAAAAAAGATATTTTTTTGGAAAACAGTTACTCATTAGCAGAACTTTACAACTAAAGCTTTTATTTATAATTGTGTTTTTAGAAAAAATCTATTTTTAATTAAATTTCACGGCAAAATAATACTCTGTTTACAATATCTATAATGCCTACATATCCTTAAATCTACATTAGCTGCTCCATGCAGCACTCGCTTTATGCCATTCACCTAATGACATTTTTACATACACACATTCGCAATGAACAAGCACTTAATAACAGCAAATTATACTTAATTATTATTAATATTAATCATCATTACTTATTTATTACATTTCCATTATGGGATTAATGCTAAATGAATATTTTTTATATATATTTTAATTTAAGGCAAAAATGAATGGATTTTTACTGTTATGCAGGTGAAGCAAAGAATGCACTTAAGTTAAATTAAAATATACGATTACAGAGAGCTTTTTTGTAAATATACTTGTACAGTTTATATGCGGGTAATAGATTGTGTTGAAAAAAGCGTATAACTATTTAATACGTGTACATAATACCAAGATACTATTTTTAAATAAAAATTTTTCATGGAAATTTGCGTGCCATAAACGGCGCATGGAATTTACTTTTGCTATTGCGCATGTTTTTGAAATTTTGTAATTTCTTTTTTTTTTGCAAATAAATGCCTGCTTTTTTAGCTGTAATTAGCGGAATAGTTTAAAAGCTTATCATGTTTTATTGCTTTTAAATTTTTGCATTTAAAAATTAAGAATATTTTATTTGATTTGTGGTAGTAATATTTTTTCGCTGCTTGTGCCTTTATCTGGTGTGTCATGTTTGTTCGCATCCATTCAAGTAAGTGAAACGGTATTTTTTTTTTTTCTTTTTGTTGGTTTTCAGTGTTGCATGCAGCTGTCATCTTGAAGAAATGAAGTTGCTTGTCATGTTTCGCATTATTTTCGGTGTTCCCAGCTAATTTGTCCTTTTGGTGGCTTTTTGTAACATTTAAAATACTTCAAGTGTCATTCATACCGCGGAATTCTTGCCAAGTATTTCACCGCTGCGCGAGTGCACAAATTGTCCATCAAATTCGACGGTGGAATTTTGTTTTACACTACCCGTTGGAGTTTGCAGCGGCTGCTTTTCGTCTCTGTTGAGGTAGGAAGAGAGTAGAGTGAGAAAATTATTTTAAGTACTTACATACTATTTATGTACATAAAAAGTAATAAAATATATGCAATTAACAATTATGTAAAAGTTGGTTATAATAGTATTTCCAAAAACAAAGTGGTAATAGAGTAAAAATTTATAACAACAGATACAAGAATCATTCAGTGCATGCAGAATTTACTGGGTTAGCTAAACTTTAACTAGTCAAGAGTAGAGAAATGTGCTCTGAAATAAACTTCAGTTGAGATCATCTATGTATTTAAAAGTCTCGCGGAAGCTTTTGTTAGCAATGGGGGTCGAGTGGAATCCGTATGCAATGCCGCAGCTACGATAATCCACGTATCTCTACAGATACCTAGCCATTTTTTGAGTCAAGATCGCGTTCCTCAAAGACTACCGATGCAGGCGCGGATTACCTCAAATATGATCTCTCGGGACGCGAACAGAATGTAGAATGTTACCGTGCCCATTGATTGGCTCGCATTCAGGGTGCCCCAAACACCAGGTTACAAGGCCTAAGTGGCCTTGAACTTTGAGATACATATATATGTGTACTGCATAAGGGTGATCCAACTTCTTGTTTTAGTCACCCCCAGAACTGAGCAATATCGAAGTTAAGTAAACCCGTACTTTTTATTTTGAAATCGGGGCTTTGAAGTATTTGATATATTTTATATGGGGAGCCAACGACACCATATCCCACCCCATCATGCTAAATGTGTTTAACTTCTTCCAAACATGACATATCTCGTGATATACGAGAAGAGTTCCTGAAAGAAAGTCTAGCACAATAATCTCAAGTAGGGAAATTGGATGGAAGATTACCACACTATTGATAGCATATTTTTTATAGATGGATGACATAAGGGCAGACAGATATTGCTTTATCGCTAATCTCTTCTTTGTATTTTTCTTTTCAATTGCTAATATTGAAAAATTTACAGAACCAGGAGCTGATGTATTCAAATCTAATGAAAAGTAGAATATAATTAAAGCATTAATGACTTTCAAGTTAAATTAAAAATTGTATAAACAGAAGTTTTACCACATTTCCGCAACGCCTGGGTTCAAACCATGGTCAAAGCAACAGCAAAAATATAGAAGAGAGGTTTTTTCTTAACAGCGGTCGTCCCTCGGCAGGCAATGGCAAACCTCCGAGTATATTTCTGCCATGAAAAACAGCTTTTCATAAAAATACAATCGCCGTTCGGAGTCGGCGTAAAACTGTAGGTCCCTCCGCTTTGTGTGACAACATTAGGGTGCACGCCACAAATCGGAGGAGAAGCTCGGCAAACACTAATATATGTGTAAGCGCCAATCTATTTTTATTATTATAAACAGCATTTACATGAAGCAATTTCGTAAGCCATTCAACATCGTCTGAAAAGTTTAAAGCGATTTTATCAATTTCTAGAAAAAGAAAGTATACCAACTGTACGAACTGATGAAACTTTGATTGCAATTTTAATCTCGCTAAAAATCGAAAGCGGCTTGATCGATTTGAATATTTTTTTTTGTTCGCTATAACACCGAGTTTAAAAAGAGAAAAAAAAATAATGAGAGTTGAAAAGATAATGTAAATATTGCAACATGGGTGTCGGAAGGAAGAGCTTTAAGAAGAAGCCGAAAATATTTTTGAGGGTTGCCACCTGTTAGAAAATTTTAATTTAATTTAATTGATAAGATAAATTAAATATTACAATATGGGTATCAAACTAAAAAGGTTTAGGCTAAAATATATTTTAGGAGGGTTGCCACCTGTTTTAAAATTTTTATTCAATTAAGTTCATCAAAGAAATAAAATACCACAATTTGGATATGAAGCTAAAGAGGGTTAAGAAACTTGTCTGTTAAAATATTTTTAGGGTGTATAGTCACCTATTTAAAAACTTTAATTCAATTGATAATTTAAGCTAAATATTACAATATCACACCTTTTTGCAAATTTAGTTTTAACTAAATCGATAGATAAGCTCAATATTACAATATGGGTGTCAAACAGAAGGTATTTGATTTAGAAATATGTATCTTCAACTAGCAAATACTGGGCGTTCTTCGTAGCTTATTCAAAGTATTTTTGTTTTATTACTTCCCCTCACCACACCCAAAACTTAGTTAATATTGTAGTATGTATTTGTAAAGTGGTCAGATTTTTTCAAAATATAAACAAATTTGATTTCAGCTTTTTATGGAAGATAAATATCCGATCTTTGACTATTTTTTGCGCTCAGTATCAAAAACGAGAAATATTGAATTAATACACGCGATATGTAGACTTATATTAAATTTATAGCAGGAATTAGCTATCACCCAAACTTATAAATAACAAAGAAGGCTTTGAGGCGAATTCTTGTTTCCGTACGAATCGAAAATTTGAAATTTTTGAATAGAAAATTATAGAAAAATTTCAGGATTTTCGATTCGTACGAGAACAAGAATGCGGCCTTATAAATGCTTTATAAATCGAAAATTGGTTTGAAGATCTCACACTATAAAGTTTTTTTTAATTCTACGAGTTTTGGGAGGCAGCAACAACACAAAAATACTTTTAAGGCGCAACACGCCAGGTATTTGCTAGTTATCTATATTACTAAACGTGCGATATGTAAAACTTTGTTTACTGTAGTAAAAGCAGTTACTCAAGAAATTATCTGTTGGTTTATTTTGTTTCTTTGCATTTTTAAATATCAAGTTATAGGATAGTAGTTCGTCACCTAAGGATGAAAAGGTGCCAAGTCCATTTTTTTTAAATTGTTCAGGAGAAACAAAAAATCGATGTAGTTCGGTATTACCCCCGCCATCTTGCATCAAAAACTAAATTTTGAAAAAAAAAATGGACTTGGCAACTTTGCATCTTTAGGGCCGGTTACTCA